CGTTCCGACCTTCAGAATCGCACCGTGTACGCCCGCCTTAAGTCACAATGTTTTTTTTAAACCAGAGATATCATTAACCTCTCAGCCACAACATATCATCACACAGAGTTCTAATATTAATAGAAATCAGCAGATCTCAATCAGTTATTATGTGACTGAACTTACGCTCTTTTTCGAACAGCTCTCTGACTCCTGGCAAGTCTTTTGCCGCACCGAAATACTTGTATCCTCTGTTCCCTGGCACCTCTTTACCCTCATGGTCCAACATCTTCGGCCCCACTCTCTATTAAACGCAAACACATACGCTCAAGCCGTGCTGACAAATATGAAACACTGCCATAAAGCAAATATAGCGCAGTTTAAACCTCTGAGACCACATGAACAACCTGGGATTTACATATGGAAATAAACCAAACATTATATGATTTTGAAGAATTAAAAAAAGTATCATTACATAAAATAAAGACGAGGTATTTCAGATACATTTCAATATTTTAAAGCCACTAATCACAATGTAAATGTGTGACATTGCTCGGGTGATCTCAGGTCTTGTTTGTGTCAGCTCCATTAACGCAAAAGTACAAACCAAACGCCGAAACATTCGTGTGTTCATTTTTGAGATCAGTTTATTATGCCGATCGAATCTTTTATTAAACTGGAAACATGCAAAACTGAACTATTTTCACTGGTTATCTCAGATTTGTGGACCTCACTGTAGATGCTATGAAAACAAAACAACAAATTCCTTGTGTGTTTGCGCACACTTTGTGAACAAAGCTCATTCTGATTCTGATAAAAGTTAGAAATATACATCTGTAATTGATTTGATATAATACAGCAACCATATGCATTAAATGTAATATGATTTGAGATGAAATGGACAAAAAATGCAATAAAAATCATGTAATTCAGCACTCATATTCTTACCCTGTAGTCAGGGCCTCCCAGTTCCTTGATTCGGACTTCCCAGTGTCCTTTCTCTCGGAGCAGCTTGTTGATTTCATCATTCAAATCACGAATCTTAAACTCCCCCAAACCAGCTGAGGAAGACAGGCAGGAGTTTAATCAGTAAACGCCACATGTACATTTCATGTTTGCTTTTTTTTTTCTTTTACATATTCTCACCGTTTTGAATCTGGGCGACTTTCTTTGAAATCTCACTGATAATCTAGAAGTGCAAGAAAAACGGAGGTTAAACCGAATATGTGCGAGTTAATATGCATATGTAGCATTATAGCATTTAACCAGTATCTATCAGAAGCACAACTTCAAAACTTCTGACCTGTCTCCTCCACTTCTCTGCTTTAGGCAACTCATTACACTCTGAAGCAAGAAAAGGTCTTCTTTCCTGTGAATGTGGCATATGATCAGGTGAACACAAGCCATAGAGATGCTCTCAGCACATCAGTGTTTAGATGATAAAGTG